CCCCAAAACCCCAAAACCCCAAAACCCCAAAACCCCTTTTTATTTTAAAAAATTGATATATTTTTTCATTTATTCGTCATATTATTCTTCTTGGAAATCTTCTTCATACTCAGGATCTCCTTGTAGAGCAGAATTCTCAATATCTCCCTGAAGCTCGTGAGGAAATTTCATTGTTCCTTCTTCAAGAGCTGGATCTTCCTCCTTTATTTGAAGATTAATCATATCATTATTTCCATCCACAGGCAGTATAGAAGTAACTCTTGTCTCTGGATACATTCTTGAAGTTTCTTTCAGAGCTTTAACTTTCTGTCTGCTCTCGTTGACTATTTTAGCCCCTCTTTTTTGTGAAATAACAAGTGAAGCCTGACTTTTCTGGTTGTCAAAATCGTAATCATTTAAAGAATCATTGGAATAGTCCCTTGCTCCTTTAATTGATGGAAGGTTATCCTTAAATTGCATACTACCTCTTCCAGCCTTTGTAGACATTGGAAAGCTGACTTCAGCTCTTACTGAACCTCTTAGACTTCCAGGTAGGAAAGCATTCCCTGTCCGGTTCTTCTCTCTTGATGTGTTCTGGTTACCTGCCTTAAAAGTAGATTTGGCATTTTTGGAAAGCATCCTTAATCTCTTCTTCAATCTCTCTATTTCTTGATCCTTCATTGAATTTTGGTGAGTGCTACTTCTGAGCATATCACTTAAAAGCTTAAGCTGATCTTCTCGTTCTTTAAGCTCACTTTTAGCTGTTTTTAGATTCTTTGCTAGGCTCTGCTTCCCAGTTTTAGCTTGGCTCTTCTTTCTCTCATTAAATACTTTACTCTTCTTTGAGGAGGCTTTCTTCTTGGAGTCTGCAGCAATTAAGCTCTCTAGCATCTCTATTTTCTTATTTCAACTGATCTGCATGGGTATTATGTTTCTGGGAGGCATTTAAGCTTGCTTTTGATTTAAATCAACTTCTCCTGATGCTTAAGCTTTCGGATCTGTCTCTCTAACTCGTCAATACCTGACTGAAGATGAAGCAGATAGTGCTTGTATCACTCTAGCCTGATTTGGAGGATTTTGTTAGCGATATTCATTTTCGCAGGCTTTCATTTCTTTACTAGGATTATCCTTTCAAACTCTTTCTGATAACTGTACAAATCCTTTAGCACATTATCAATTTTCTCTCTGGATTTTCTAACTTTTTGATACAAAGTTTGTATTTTAGTAGAAAATAATGCATTTTTGGTGAGTAGTTCTTCGATGGAGCTCTCATAAGACTGGGATAACTCCTGAGCAAAGTTTTCATTCGCCATTTCTTCATTCATCTTCTGAAGTTCGATAATTTTTGCCTTGATTTCAATAATTTGCTGTTCCTTTTGAGATATTTCAGATTCAAGTTTTTCGTCTTCATTTATGTTTTTGTCTGCTTCGGTTGGGGAATTTGGGTTATGATTATCTGGAGATTTAGGATTGATTTTTAGTTCTTCAGTTTCATCTGAAACTTTATCTTCTGTTTTTGTAGGGCTGAAATCACCGCTATATTGTTCAAAAATATCTTGAATAAAAGAATGGGTTTCAAGGTATTCTTCTCTGCTTGTTGACTTGAAATTTTTAGGAAATCTAGTTTTCTGAGTGGAGGGAGCAAGGTTGTAACCGCCAAAAGCTCCACGCTCTAAATTGTCTAGAAATGTTCGAATATATGCTTCTGGGGCATCATTTTTCTCTCTCATCTCTAGTGCAGTTTGCTGGAGTTGTTCAACTTCTTTTATTTTTGTCTCAACAGGGTTGCCTTCATGTTTTAAGGTATCAATAACTCTTTGTTGAATTTCAAGAGCTTCATCAAGTGTTCTGAGATCATCACATTTCTTCTTAAATTTGTCAATAAAGAGTTTAAATTCTTTTTCCTTTGCTTCCTGGTCTTTTATTCCTTTCTCTAAATCTTCTGAATTGGGTCTACCTTTGAACTCTCATGTAGAATCCTCTGATGTATGAGAATCCTTAGTGGTGCCAATGACTCAATTATAATAGCGTCATCTATCACTTAGAGTGGTTCTGATATACTGGTTAGTGTGCTTGCCACCCTCTTGTTTCTGGGAGGAATACTTATGCATGACCTCTATTGCTTTCCTAGTTTCTGTTGCCTGCCACTGCTCTTTCTCTGCATTACTCAGTTGTTGTTGCACTTGGAGATGTTGGGTTAAAGTTTTGGGCTTGGCTACTTTTAGTTGAATGTTGGTGGTGAGACTGTGGTGGTTTAAGACTCCAGCCATGTTGGTATTTTTGGACAATAAATATTATTCAGCCTAAGGGTTGGTTGGAGGGGTTTTGGGGTTTTGGGGTTTTGGGGTTTTGGGG